CTGTTCTCTCTGTCCCCGTGTCTTCAGTTCATGCCCTTTACCGCAGCACTCAGCACCAGCGAGAGAAGTGGAGAGCAAGGTGCTGAGCACAGGCCTGGTCACGAGACCACTGAATTTGAGTCCCTTCTCTGCCATGACTAGCAGTATGACCTCACTCAGGATAGAGGCCTCACTTCCTCATCTGTAAACAGGGACAGTAATGGGGTCTACTTCATGGGGCTGTAAACAGCAAATGGGCCATCCATGTACAGGGTGCCTGGTAGTGAGCACTGTGCATTAGCTGTCACCCTCATCATTGTGTCTTGCCAGCACACTGAGCACTTCACGATGGGGCCCCCTCCATCCTTGCACTCCCAGCATGTAGTGGGCACTTTGGTAGTCACTGCTACATGGATGGATGGAGGGATAGATGCTTCCTCATGCTCTTCTCCCAGGCATCTGCCTAGCTCACTCCTCATTTACTACTGCTCAGTTGTCATCTTGTAAGAGAGACCTTCTGTGACCATCCTGTGTAAAACAGCTTTTGTAAAACAGGGGACATGCTGTCTGTCCCCACCCTGTTCTCTTCCTCCTTGCTGTCTTCGGCCTCTCAGCCGCCTTCTTATCTGTTTTGGTACCTGTGGAGTCCCCACCGCCTAGTCTGGTAAATCCCTATTGACTGTGTGAATGAACATTTCTCCAAGCCCCCAGATACTGGCCTTGTCTCCTGTCTTTATCTTCCCGGCTCTGATACCCAAAATCTTCCCCTGCACCCTTCCAGCTCTGCGGTTCCACCCAGGCGCTTCCTTCCTCTGGTAAGGCCACAGCCTCCACACACTGGAGCCAAACCCGGGCTCTGGTCTGAAGCCAACCTGCCTGCTCTTAAGTTCTTTCTCAGACTAGCTGAGGACTTGTCGGCATTGACATTTACTGGGCATCCTTGCCCAGAAGAAGGCAGAGTTTTAATCCCAGCAGCTGGAACTCCCAAGAACTTGATGGTTGCAGCCTTGAGAGAGTCAGCCCTGGCCTCGACTCTCCCTGTCTCCGCAGCCTGATGTGGGTGTTGGGAGATGTGGAGAACCTTCCCCGCGGGGAGGGGTGTGGCTGGCAGGTACTTAGGACCCACCTCCAGCCTCATCCTCAGGAGTGCAGCTTAGACCTTTCTGTGTTGGGGTTTCTTGTAGAATATCATTTGAAGTAAGATTATCACTACTCTATGGAAATTTGAAGATCACTTTTTTGATACATTTTACTGAAATCTAAAATGTGGCTTTTTTTTTTTTCTACATCTTTTCCTCTGAAAGATGAACTGACTGGAATCCTTAAGAAATTATCACTTGAGAAGTATCAGCCTATTTTTGAGGAACAAGAGGTAAGGATGTTCCTTTTGAATGTCAATTTAAATCTTACTATTAAAAATAAAAAAACTTTGTCTAAATCTGTGGGTTTTCATTCTGCAAGACTGGATTGATCTTTTTCACTGAGACAGCTGAGGAAATAGAATTTGTGTTCAGCACATTTAGTTCAATTCATTGCAGTGAAATCCTGGGGACCTTATGGCTTACTTTGTTATAATGGAATTTTGTCATTTTGAGCACTGCTCTCTCTAGAAAAGTTTGTGTCTGTCCTGACAATATTTTTGTTGCGTGGGATTGACTGGCAGACGTATAGGTTTAAAGTGGGCCAAAGCAAATCCTAAGGAATCTGTGTTATGTCTGGATGTAGGGTCTATGGTAATCCAACAGAGCTCCCATTTGCTTAAAAGCATTCAAATTCACATTTTATAAAAATTACTGTTCTGCAATCTGGCTCTTCCTCAAAATGTTAAACACAGAGTTACCATATGACCTAGCAATTCTACTCCTAGGTATATCCCCAAGAGAAATGAAGACATATGTCCACATAAAAACTTGTAAACAAATGCTCATAACAGCATTGTTCTTAATAGCCAAAAAGGGGAAACAACCAAAATTCTATCAACTGACGAATGGGGAAATAAAATATGGTACTTCTGAACAATGGAATATTATTCAACTATTAAAAGAATGAAGTACTGATGCACAAGGCAACATGGATTAATCTTGAAGACATTATGCTAAGTGAAAGAAACCAGTCACCAGTTTGACTCCATTTATATGAAATGTCCAGAAAAGGCAAATCTGTAGAGGCAGAGGGTGGATTCGTGGTCACCAGGGAATGAGAGAAAGGGAGGGTGGGGAGTGACTGCTAATGGATGTGGGGTTTCTTTTTGGGGAGACAAAAATGTTCTAAAGTTGAGTGTGGTGATGGTTGCACAACCCTGTGAATATACTAAAAATCATTGACTTGTGTACGTTATATAGGTGGATTGTATGGTAGATGAATTATATCTCAGTAAGCTGTTAAAAAATTTATTGTTTTAGCCAAATAAAACTCTTCCATGGGCCCACCAGCCATGCACTAAGGTATAATCACTGGATTAGAACCGTCTAGTGACCAGCGTGGTACATGAAAACTGTCCTCACTGCAGTAGCAATCATGAGACTCACTCATCGTCCCCACCAAGCTTGAGACACAATTGGGGAGTTTGTGTTTTAGTTCAGGGCATAAGCGGGGGTGCAGTGGCTTTCTTCCTCTGCTTTTCTGCCATACCCAGTCTGTTATTCCTGCCTCCTTGGGGTTTTAAACTTCAGCAGTGATTTTTCTCATCTCGTAAGAAATCTTTCCAGATTGCTGACTGCTGCCTGCCTTTGTTTGATATGCCCTGTGTCCTCTTTGAGTGTACAGAGAACACATCTCAAAGTATACTTCTGCTCCTTGCGGTGTCTTTGTTCCTGTGTCATAAGATAACACCTGTTCTGATTTCTTGGCTTTAGCTCCTTTTTTGGAGCTGGCATGTCTGAGAGTTTCCCCATCCTTCATCGGTCAGAGGTTGCTACAGTTGTCCAGGGTAGGGAACTGAGGTGTGTTCCAGCTGAGATATTATAGAAATCTTTGAGAATTTTAAAGGAAAGGGGGAGGGCAGACCAGGCACATTTGCTGTAGTTTTAACTCGCTCACCTGGAATTCTCTGCAGCTCTGGGGTCAGGGAGGGAGCCGGGGCCTGAGGCAGTGCCAAGGGGAGGGCTGGAGCATCTCCCTGTGTGTTATGGTAGCATGAGGTTAGCTGAGCTAGTGGTCTGGGCTCTACCTTGTTAGGAGCCAAGCTCAGCTATCTCTTCCTTTTACTCAGTTTTTCTCTGGGTAGCATGTAAGCTGGTTAGCACTGCACGGGATTCACCATCGATATGGACCCACAGTCCATTGTTTCCCTTGGAGGCTTTAGTGGGACTGGGGTTTTAACCCCACTGATTGCCCCCTGCCCTGGCCTCCAGACCAGTCCTCACAGCTACAACGGTACTTCTTAGTCCCTTGCAGAAACTCCTTGAAGTATCTGCAATGTGGGCAGCACTTTTCCCTGGTTTCCAGCACTGGTAAAAATTCCTCCCTTTAAATAATAATAATTAATAATACTTTTAGTTGTCAGTGGAATTTGGAAGAGGAATGAGGTTAATACATGCTCTCATCTTGCCGTATTGAAACTGAAGACAGACTAATAACTTTTCTCTTTCTACCTATATTAGGATGGATTTGATTTGGCTACATGTATTGAAGAAAAACAAAATAATGGTGTCTTAAAATATAAGGTTATTTCTCCTGTAGAAAGTTTGGAGGCTTTTTCAGCTCTCTGCTCCACCAGCACTAGGGTGTGTGGCTCACATCCTCAGAGTTCAGTATGGCTACTAGAGCACCAGCCATTACATCCACATTCCAGGCAGCAGGATAAGAGGAGATTGCAAAAGGACACATCCACTCCTTTTTAAGGAGACGTCCCAAAAGTGCCACACAGCCTTATTATTATATATCTCATTGGCCAGAAGTTTGTCACCTGACATGTACTTATGTGCAAGGGAAACTTAGAAATACAGTGTTTTAGCTGTGTGGAAATGTGCGCAGCTGAAAATTGAGATTCTATGACTTAAAAGAAAAACAAGAGGTATGAATATTGAAAGGACACTGGGATGTTTTTACCCTGTCCCTGCTCACCCTTCGCAAGTACTCACTGGAGGGAAATTCAGTCTCTGGTACACTCCACCTAAAATGAGCCATGAGAGTTTGGCATTCCCCAGGGTTGATGGAGGTCAGAGATTGAGAAGGTCAGTGCAAATGGAGAGGCAGAAGACTGACTGATTGATGCGATCATTCAGTCAGTCAGCAAACACTTACTACTTGAGTTATTGCTCCCATACCAGGCCCTCTGCCAGATCCTGGTACTGGGAAATGCAGAAGTGCCCAGAACACTCTGGGAGCCCATGTAAGGGGTCTACAAAGTGAAGAACCGAGGAGACCTGAGCTGAGAGTTAAGCTGAACTTTGGCGAAAGGGGAATGTGACTGGAAGGACATCTGAGAAGAAGGGTAGGACTTGTTCAGAGAGCCATAGGCACCTCGGCCCATTTGGGGCTGCGCCAAGGCCAACATGTCTGGAGGAGAGAGTGGGGCCTGGACGTGTGGATTTGCCTCTCCCAGCCGTGGGCTTGAGGCAGACGCGGGCTGGGAAGATCTATGGCCTCTGGTGCGGAGGCAAACGGGCTGGAGGACAGGTGAGGCAGCACCAGTGGGAGGGAGACACCAGTTAGGAGGTGGAGGGCAGGTGTGGGGGACCTCAGAAGTGCCCAGATTTGGCTGTGGTGCCAGGCTGAGTGTGGGGTCCCTGCTACAGGCCTGGCGTGACGGGGAGAGACTAGTGTCCAGCTGGGCGGGGACAGGAGGTTTCCATCAAACCTGCGTCACCTGGTCATGCAGCCCCCAGCACGTCGTGGGCTGTGAAGTCCCGTCAGGAGCACGTTATCATCAAAGAGGTTGCAAATGCCTGCGTCTCAGACACGCTGAGGATTCGCTGCGGGCACAGACTGCCCCACTGACTCAAACCCGGTTCACAGTTGGTTGGATGGTTGGTTTTAATCCAGAAAAGCAAAGTGACCGTTAAAAGAGCGAAGGAAGGGTGGGGGCAGGGGCATTGGGATTTCAGAAAATAATCTCTCTCTCCATAAATCGAATGTTTTAAAGAAAACCTTTAAAAATCTGGTTCAGTGAGAGGGAATATCAAATAAAGCCTACTTATAAAGTGAAAAACTAAGGATTTTCAATAAGTTATGAAAGTTTTATTTTAAATGACACCAGTATCATATAAAAGTACAGTAGTCTCTTTTACAGTTCGTAAATACAGTTTCTAAAGCTTTTTATAAACTCTCTTTGTAGAGCCTGCAACCACCCTGTAATTTATATGGTGGGGAACTGTGGTGAGGTACCTGCCCAGGTCCCCAGCAGACTGGGAATTGGCACCCCGTCTGTCTGTCTGTCTGTCTCCAGGGCCACGCTGCCTCCACCTCCCGAGACCTGGCTGCCGAGGGAGGTGTGGGCAGCCAGCTCTTTGTCCCATCTCTTGGATGAGCACTGTTGTTGAGTCTGATTTGTGAGGCTGTGGCATTGTCTATAAAGGTGACTCCCCAGGGGGAAGGACCCAGACAGGTGACAGAATCCCTTAATTCTTAGGGAAAGTCATGTTAACAGGGAGGCTGCTGCCATCAGGGAAACGCCGTAGGGAAAACCGGTGAATGTGCAGCCGCGGCATTGGAAGGTCACGCGGCGCTGTGGAGCAGGGCCAGGACGCTGGGGTCCACACCTGGGTTCTGGCTCTGGGTGCTAAAGCTCTTCATGCCTCAGTTTCCTTCTCTCCAAAATGGGGATAATGACATAGCCACCTCATGTTGTGAGAGTTAAGTGAGTCAGCCTATGTAAAATGCTTAGGAAGTGCTTTGCACAACATGGTCTTAGCTGCTGTCACCCTCCTCATACTCTGACAGTGAGACTGGCCTCCAGTGGACCGAGATTGGGTCCTGGCAGGTGTGGAGGCTTGTTCTCTGTCCCCCTCTGTCTGGGTCTGTTGTCATCCAGCGTGCAGGGGGGTGCTTGCTTCATCTGAGCCCCTTTTGACCGTCGCTTCATCCTGCCTTAGAGGAACAGAGGCCCTGAGTTCATGTCCAGGGCCCAGCACGGCTGGCAGAGCTGTTAGGATCTCACCCGCAGAAACCCAGGGTCGCATGGTTTTGAGATGCCCTTATTCTCAGCCCTTCTCTGCCCCCCATGGCCCTTCTCTGCTTTGTTGCTTCTGCTTATTTCCTCCCTCTGTCTTTCCACAGTCTGCTCCTCTCTTGTCCTCTGAGGGGGAGACGAGGTGAGTACCGCCATATACCCACGTTTCTGTGCAGTATCCGGTATTGTTAGAAGTGGGTTTCTAACCCACTTGGGTTTCTACCATTCTAGCCACCGAGACTACTCTCTTGAAGATTTTCCTTATTTGTTTTATTTAAGGATCTTTCCAAAATGCATCTGTTCAGAAAATCCAAGGGCTAGAGCTGAGAAGAGTTGGTGTTTAATATTTTCAACTACATTTTAAGCATAAAGTCGGGAATTGGAAGTAGTGAATCATAATCAGTTCACTCCTAATGAGCACTCATTGCTCATAATCATGGTATCTCTGTTGCGGTTGGGATGTTGCGGTTGGTCTTTCATCCCGTGGCATCGGGCAGATGGTGGCGAGTCCCCCCTCTCTTCCCAGGTGGATATGGAAGCCTTCCTCACGCTGACTGACGGCGACTTGAAGGAGCTGGGCATCAAGACAGACGGGTCCAGGCAGCAGATTCTGGCAGCCATTTCCGAACTGAACGCAGGCAAGGTATTGTCTCAGCCTGTTTTCTTTCCTTGTTTCAGGCAGCTGAGAGCCTTGCTGGGGTCCTAGGGTCTAGGGTAGTCTAACTTCACCTCCTCTGGCATATCCAACAGAGCCAGCCCCACTCGCACACTGCTCGTGACCTACTGCTTACTACCTCCCAGCCTTGCCTGTTGCCTCTTCGGACCTCTCTCCCCATAAGGTTTCTCCCCAGACTCAGCCAGAATATTCCCTGGGGTAATTTCAACCCACAGAGCCAGGTATTGCCCACGGGAGCACCATGGACACAGAGCCCTTGGTTCAGAGAGGCCCTAGAGTCAGGCTGACCTGGATTTGAATCCTGGCTCCTCCACTTACTTGCTGTGTTGCCTGGGGCAAGGCATATACCTCTCTGAGCCTCCCTGCAGGGTGAGGGTAATAAAGTGGTTGCAAGGATTAAAAACGCTTAGCCGAGCACCTGGCACACAGAGACCCATCAATCACTATTGTTATTGTTGGCATCCCAAGTTTTTGTCTAATGTTAAATTTGTTTCATCAGCTTTAAAGCTAAAGATTATTAGTGCCCCCCATCCACCCAAAGGTGCACACACACCAAAAAAATCATCACTTACTTTGTAAATGTTAATTATAGTTGCTATTGGGCTATTCATTTTGCCTTCTGCTTTTTTTCCAAATATAGGATGGATTTTTCTGTTCCTCATTCCAGCAACAATGTATAATACCTGCTTACCTGTTGCTTTTTTACACTTTGCCTAACAGCTTCCCACTTGTTGGACAATAGTGTCATGTCGGGGATTTTACAATTATAAATGTTACCATAATAGAATCTCTGCCTTTTGCCTTTTTCTTTCTTCTTCTTCTTTTTTTTTTGTTTGTTGTTGTTCTTTGGGCTATGTTCCACAATATGAGATTATGTCAGACAGCATGGCCATTTTTATGGTTCTTTCTGTATATTGCTGGATTATGCACAGAAATATTGAACAGACGTATAGCGCCTGCAGCAAATAAATATTTATGTAGCACTTTATCATTTACAAATCACTTGGCATACATTTCCTCAAGACAGCCCAGGGAGGCTGGTGTCCTTACACTTACTTTGTCTAGGTGGCAAGTGAGCAGAGTCTAGGGAGGGGGGACCATGCCCAGATCACAGGGTCGTGGGCAGAGGAGGCAGAATCTACAGCCAGGTCTTCTGGCCTCTTCATCTTAACCTTTCTGCTGCCTCACAGTGTGTGGAGGCGGCTCCTCCCAGCCCTGCCAGGATTGTTTTTGTTGTTGTTATATCATGATTATTATTATTTTTTGAGACAGGGTCTTGCTCTGTCACCCAGGCTGGAGTGCAGTGATGTGATCATAGCTCACTGTAGCCTCAAACTTCTGGGCTCAAGTGTTCCTCCTACCTCAGCTCCTGAGTAGCTGGAACTATAGGCGCACACCACCACACCCAGCTAAATTTTTAATTATTATCTGTTTGTAGAGACAGGGTCTTGCTTTATTGCCTAGGCTGGTCTTGAACTCCTGGCCTCAAGCAATCCTCCTGCTTTGGCCTCCCAAAGTGCTGAGATTACAAGCATGAGTCACCGTGCCTGGCTCATTCATTGTTATTACCTGTCTGTAGGCTATGAGTTGATCCTTCAAAGTGATTTAGTTAGCATTGCTGCAGGCATTTGCAAGTCTTAGTGTTTTTCCTCAAGACTTTACTATTTGTTCTTTCTCCTCTGTAAATGGCCTGTTTATATGCATTTCTTGCCTGTTCCCTGGGCCTGGACTGCCTCACTTTACAGATAGGGAAGCCCAGGCTCAGAGATGAGTAGTGACCCCTGACTTCCAGACCAGCACTGCTTCTACTCTGCTGTCAGATGTGCAGGGGGAGGGAGGTAGGCGAGGCAGGCGTGGAGGTTGCAGAGGTGGGCAGGTCTTGGCTATTAGAAGAGCATCATCCAGGAAACAGAAACCCCAGGGTGGCTCACAGAGGGTGCATTAACCAAAACAATCACTAAACTCTTTGGGGCATTGATTTATTCATGAAAAAGGGCCCTTTGCGAATCTGCTGTGTCCCAGGCGCTGTGTGAGTGCTGAGCATTCAGAATCACTCCATGCCCAGCACTGTGTCTGAGCATGTCACATACTGTAGTCATTCATTTAATCTGTGCAAAAGCCACTGAGGTCAGTTCCAGTTTATAGATGAGGAAACCAAGGCACAGAGAGAGGTTAAAGAGTTTGCCCAAGGTCACATAGCCAGTACATGACAGAGCCAGGGTTTGTGTCCTGGCCACATGCTGTACTGCCTCAGTGTAACTCACCCACAGCACACATAAAGGAGAGGCAGGTGGTGCCATGAAAGCTGGCTTAGAGTAGGGCTGGAAGGTAAGGGATGGGAAGACATTCCTGAGCAAGTGGCAGGGTGGCTGAGATCTAAAGGAAGAATGGGAACCCCTGCATAAAGCAGTAGAAGAAAAGTGGAGACCAGGCAGAGGGAAGCACATGTGCAAAGGCCCTGTGATGAGAAGATGTGTCACACATTTAAAGAACTACAGCAGTGTCTGGAGCACAGAGCAAGAGCCACGACATGCGAGAGGTCCCAGGGGACAGATGAAGGCCCCCAGGGTGGTCAACGGTGACCCAGTCAAATAAAGGCAAGGGCTTTGGGGGGGGACAGTGAGTGACCATGGATGCCATGGCCCAGGAGTTAGAGGAACCTTCCTCCTCCTGGCCTCTAAAGCGCAGGTGTGTGAGCCCTGGAGACGATGGAGGTGGGGGATGCCATGTGTCAGCCAGGTAAGGAAGGAGAAGGATGGAAAAGGTTCTGGATGCAGGGACAGTGAGAGGACAGGCCAAATGGCAACTGCTCATCCAGAACCTCCCCTTTGCCCTCTGTGGCCATGGCCTCCTTGGCCCAGTATCACAAAAAGAAGACAGACTTGGCTGGTTTGCAAACCTTCAGAAACCTAACTGGCATCACCAGAATGGACAATGTGACATCTTGAGCTGACCCCGAAGGAGGACATTTTTCTTAAAGTTTATACAGACTAGAACCTTTTTCTAGTTTTCTTTCCCCATTCCCTGTTCTATAACAGTCTGGTACTGTACTGAGCAGGTCCTCTCAGGAGAGGCAGAGGGATGGCTGTTGGTGTCCTCCTTGGGGGCCCAGCTCACCAGCTCCCAACCAAGAGACCCAGGTGCCCCTGACGTGCCAGGCCCAGGGCACCACTTAGCCTACCCTTGTCCTTCCCAAAGGCAGCATCCACCCTGCAGTCAGGCGACTCCACACAGCAGCAGGCATGAGGGGAAGGAGCCATTCTGAACTAGCTCCCTGGAGAAAGGCCCTGACATTCAACGCAGGTAGTACCAGATAAAGTCCTCTGGAAGTATATCCTAGCGTGTCATAGAGAAAAGGCAAGATTAGGACGAAGTTTAATATTACAAAAACAAATTTAACTTCTGCTACACTATTCCAAGTTACCACTGCAACTGTGTGCTGCTGCTTAAAATGAGCAAGGAACTCCTCAGGCCAAAGGTGGCTTCTAAGAACGCTTCTGATGCCTGTGAGATGCTCTGGGCCTCGGCTGTTCTCGATCAGCCTGGCCCTGGCTGCAGGAGCTCCTGCCTCTGCAATTGCTACAGCACACGAGCTTCACCTTCTGACCTTCATACATTTTCTTTTGCAATGCAAGCTGGGCCCAGAGAGTACCCACTATGGCTTCAATGCTCCGTACACACTGAGAAGCTCAGCCAGGGACACGTGCAAGAGGGAGGCCCAGCTTTCCTTGCCCCCGTGTCTGTCTTGCCGTGGTCCACAGCATGCTGGTGGGTTGTGGGATCCATGTAATGGTTCTACAGCATTTTAACAAACAGAGGAGAATAGAAAATATGCTTTGCAGGTAGGAAGGACAGAACTTGCTTCAGTTATATATGATTGCATGAAACAGGGTTATGATATAAATGCATTTCTTACATAATCAAAAAAAGTTTCAGCATTTTAGCCTAAAATTTTTTTAAGTGAGTATTAACCAGAAACCTGATTCATAATAACATAATAGTGTCAGCAAATATTATCAGGCGTAGCATCAGCAAAGCATTGTGGACCCTCAGCCTGCGAGCCAGGTAAGTTCCAGGTGAACCTGTCCCGGTATTTCAGTTGAGAATCTGCTTATTAGTGTGTTAATTTCACAAGAGTTATGTATTGGAGAAGGCTCACTAGAAATGATGAGTTAGTTGGTCCTAAGCCACTGTTTCTTTCTGGTACCCTTTTTGTCCTTATCAAAGCAGTGCATATTCATTTTACTAAATTTGCATAGTACCAAAATTGTGAAAAGAATTTTTTTTAAGAAGTCACGAATCACGATCCAATCACCCAGAGGCCAATGCCATTCACTTTTGGGCGGATAACTCTGCAGTGCTTTGTGTCCAATTTTTTTTTTAAACATGACTAAGACAAATTTGGATCTACAATTTTACATCCTGCTTTCTTTTTTTTTTTTTTTTTTTTTTTTTCGAGACAGAGTCTCACTGTGTTGCCTGGGCTAGAGTGCCGTGGCGTCATCCTAGCTCACAGCAACCTCAAACTCCTGGGCTCAAGCCATCCTACTGCCTCAGCCTCCCGAGTAGCTGGGACTACAGGCATGCGCCAACATGCCCGGCTAATTTTTTCTATATATTTTTAGTTGTCCACTTAATTTCTTTCTCTTTTTAGTAGAGACGGGGTCTCGCTCTTGCTCAGGCTAGTCTCAAACTCCTGAGCTCAAACAATCCGCCTGCCTCGGCCTCCCAAAGTGCTAGGATTACAGGTGTGAGCCACCGCGCCCGACCCACATCCTGCTTTCTTTAACATGAAATATATGCAGCTACCCATGTCACTAAGAACTCTCTTTTCATATAACAAATTTGTATAGACGTGCTAAAATTAATTTTTTAAAAATCTCTACTTGTTGCATATGCAGATATCCAAACTTTATATAAATAGTGCTATAGTGGACAACTTTGTGTATAAGGCTTTCTAATCATTCTGTCAGAATAGATGTCTAAAAGTGGAATTACTGAGTCAAAGAGTCAGAATCAAGGTATATGTATACCTGAATTACTTTCCAGTGAGAGCCAGTAATCACTCCCGCCAGCTAGGTGTGTATGAGTTCTAGCTTCACTGCAGCCTTGCCAGCATTGCGTACTACCAGTTTGTTTTTTAATCTTTATTAATATGATAGGACAAAAAAATGTGTCCTGTTTTAATGTGCATTTTTTGGAATACTAGGTAGGTTGAACCTTTTTTTCTACATTTAATGGCCATTTGTTTTTTTTTTTCCTTTCGAGAATTATCAAGCAGGTCCTTTGAAGCTCAGGGGTTTTTAAAGGGCAGTTATCATCTTCAATCCGCTGCAGATACAGGAAACGATTATAATTTTCCTCCCTCCTGAGATTAGGAGGCAGCGAGTGCCAGGACCCTGTCTCACTCTGACCTTGTTCCTCAGGTAGTTAAGGCCAAGGTAGTGTTCAGTAATGAAACTGCTTGTCACCCCCTCTGTTACTTCTTAACCCTCTGCAGTGTGCATGGTGCCACCCCATTCATATCTCAGGGTGAGCTTGATGGCAGCCCTGGTGGGTGACATTATCCCCATTTTACAGATACGGAATGGGGACGTGCGTGGGAGGCCACCACTAATCAGTGCTGGAGGAGGGACTTCAAGGCCTCTGACCCCACACGCCATGCTCTGTCCGTCTACCCTGCAGCCCCGAGATTTGTGCCGATGGAATGCCGAGGGCATCCTTCCACCTGTTTGCCTGGAAGGACTGACATGAAGGGAGAATCTTACTGTCCTCTCGGGGATCTGGGAGGCCTTGTCAACACAGATGTCTGCTTGGGGGTCTGGAGAACACCCCCCACCACCACCCAGAGTGAAATGACAGGAAAGAAAGTTTGAAATCTGGGCTTATTCCGTCGACTTTTTCCCCCTTTTCACTCTTAGCAAAGAACAATCTGCCAGACATTGTACATTTTTAATTTACTTTACATTTTGACCACATTTATTTGTTAATTTTAAAAATATATGTTTGATCCACACTGCTGCCTTCTGAGGGCAGGACCTGGGTGCCTCTTACACAGAATCTGATATCAGCAGCAATCATGTGAGGTGCTATTATCATCCCCATTTTATAGATGAGGAAACCAAGGCCCAGAGAGGTTACATTTCTTGCTCAGGGTGATGCAACCACTAAGTGGGAGAGATGGACTTTGAACCCAGGCTGTTTGGTTCCAGTCTCTGTTCTTTTTATTTTTTTTTACAGAGAAAACAGAGTCTCACCAGGCTGGCCTCAAACTTCTGGGCTCAAACTGTCCTCCCACTGCAGCCTCCTGAGTAGCTGGGATGACAGGTGCCACCTCGCCCAGCCCAGCCTCTGTTCTTAGCCTCTGTGTATTACTGCCTCTCAGCCATGTCCTCAGTGAAGATGTTTTCTGGGCTTAGAGAAACATCCACGTCCACTCTTTACCCATGTCGGAATATGTGTATGGGGGCTAGGAGTGTCGTAGGGATGGGGTGAGAAGGGAATCTCTGTGAAGAGGAATCTGACACCTTTTGGGCAAGGGGGAGTGAAGGCAGTTCAGCCTCTGCCTGCATAGCAGGAGGATACATACCTCTCATTCAATTCGCTGGAAATCTAAAGGCTGGAAAGACACTCGGAGCAGGGCAGGGGAGGAGACCTTCCTTCCAGGCCACGTGCCTGGGACCAGCCGGTCCTGCTCTCTGGGCTCTGCCTCCTGTCCTGGTCCAGGGGATTGGACTCCTGCGTCCTGGCGCCCTCTCCAGGGCTGACAGGCTGCGATGGCGGTGCTGGGGAGAGCCTGACTAAGTGTGTTTTTATTAAGCTTGGTGCTCTTTCAATTAGGTAATTTATTTTCCCCAAGACGCCCATGGGTTTTTCGAGTATGAGTTGAGCATTAACAGCACTGTGTCAATTGAATTAATGGTTAAAAGATTTAACAAGACTTTCTGTGTCTGTTTTCAATTTCCTCCACAGGGACGCGAGAGACAAATTTTACAGGAAACCATTCACAACTTCCACTCTTCCTTTGAGAGCAGTGCCAGCAACACCAGGGCTCCTGGCAGCAGCCCCTGTACGTGACCTCCCTCCTGTGGCCACCAGTGTGAGCTCTCTGAACCCCACCTCCACCTTCACATAGCCAGGGCCCAGCCCCTGCTCCCAGACACACACCCCGCTCTGTCTCACCGCTGTGCCTCAGCCGTGTTGCTCTCTGCCTGGAACACCCTTCGTCCCTCTGCTGCGTTAGTCAGTAGTGCTCGTTGCTAGAACGAGCTACAACACACAGAGATTGAGTCTCACATCACAGTCCAGTAGGACTGCTTCTGGTTGCAGGTGGTTTCACATCGTGATTCAGGGACCCAGCTCCTTTCATCTTGTGCCCCAGAGTCTTTGCTTCTGGGTGGTAGCAAGGGAAGGGGATGGTGGAGAAGGCCCAGCCACTTCTTAACTGCCTTGTTCTTAACTGATACACTCCCGTTCACGCTCCCTTGGCCACCTGAACACAAAGGAGGCTGGGAAGTATAGTCTCCGTTCAGCTAGCGGCTTCCCAGCAACAACTTTAAACTTAGATGGGGAGTGCATATTTTGGTGGCGATTAGCCCGCCCTGCCACAACTTCCCTTAAAACTTTCAGCCTGTCCCTCCTGGTCTAAGTCACCTATCAGGTGAAGCCTTTCTTGACTCCCTTCTAGCCACTGTGTTCCCTTAGTGCTTTGTATGTGACTCTGCTCTAGCACTGCTGCATACATCATACAACAGGCGTTGGGGATGTGTATGTTGAGTGCATTTTTCTTTATTGCAACAACAGCCTTTTATATAGGAAAAATAGAGGAGACCTGCTGTGTGGATCCTTCTTTCTGGCTTTCAGTTTCCTCATCTGCAAGACAGAGAGTGGAGGGACATGATGCTCTGATACTGCACGCTGCTCACCCCGTATCACTGTGGGCTTTCTGCACTGCCAGGGGGATCTGAAGACCAATGTGTCACATTGAGAAAGGACTGTGGTGCTCAAGTTTTCTAGGCAAAGAAGTGTAGAATTTGGAATTCTTTTCTAGATCCTGTTAATGCTACGTTCCTCAAAAGTGAATTGGCCTGTATAGTTTCCAACCATATCATATTGTATTAGAGGGGCTCTGACTTTTAAAAGCCAGTTGCTTTCCGAAGTGCTTTCCAGTGAGTAATTCATGTGGCCAGTGCTTGCTGCATTTCCGTTACATGCTGGATGCTGAGCATGCAGGGACAAGCCAGGGCTGCTCTCCACCCTTGAGCATCTGGACGGGCAAGAGGCAGCACAGTAGAGTGGAAAGAGCTTGTGCTCTGGACTCCGGTTCAAGGTTCAGTTCTGGCTTTCAGTATCTTAATTGGATCTTGGAGCCAGTGTGCATAAAGTGCTTGATCTGCAAGAAGTACCCAATAGATAGTGGCCTTCACGGAATTCCAATCTTTACCACCAGCTGTGCTGGGCCACGTGTTGGTCTCCTTGGGAGGTGCCATCTCACATCTGTCCCTCCCCCAGCCATGAAAGCCCATCCCACTGTGCCGGCTGTCCGAGGTGATTATTGCCGCACCACCTGCAGCCTCGTGGTTTCCTCCCTCTGCCTGAGGCCCAGTGGGTGATGTTCTTTCTTCATCCTCCCATCCTTCCACTGACAGAGGTCAGCTTTCCACATGACTGAAGATAAAGCATTTCATTTGGGCCATTACTGACACACATCTTTATAAAGCTTCCTCGGGTTCCATCCTCCTTTAAGGAGACACGCTTCTTGATCGCCTACTATGTGCCAGCTGCTTTACCGCATTGTCGTTTTACCCTCACCACGCCCCTGGAGGTAGCACTGCTTAGCTGCCTCCTGCACATCAAGGAAACAGCTGCTTTGGAAGAGGAAGCTGCTTGGCAGTTACACGGCTTGGAAGGAGCAGATCTGGGGTTAACCAGGCCTGTTGGCCTCCAAGCCTGTGCCTTTTCCACTAACTCCTGGAGATTCTCGAGCTAGAAGCACTGGGGATTCCCACTGTTTCAGTGAACTGATATCTTCAGGGGCTGTCAATAGGCCTAGAATTATCTGCCCCTGAAATACATGGCCCCTAGTGTTACATGCTTTGCAGTTTTGTGCTTGCTTTTCGCTGAAGTCCTGTGTTTTGGTAACCCGTGTATTAATGTAGCTTCCACTCAGGTAAGTTTGATTGAGCACCTACAAGACACAGGTGCTGTGCTGAGGGTCACTTTCCACAAATGCAAACCTCCATGATCGTGTTGGATGACCCTGGACAGAGCAGGGCTTTTCATTCCCCTTTTGCAGACAGGAAGACTGAGACTCCAGATGCTGCCTCTTCTTGTCTTTTTTACTGGACTCAAATGTCCAAGGTTTTTTCTCCAGGTATTTGTGTGCTGGTTGGTGAGAGGTTCCTGGCACCCTTTCTGGGCCTTGCTCACTCCCTCCTGGGGACACTTCTCACCCCACGTGTGTCCCCAGCCATCTCCACGAGGCTGTCCCCTCCACAAGAAGTACCTCCCTTGCTCAGTGACTCTTCACCAGCATTTCCCAAAGTGTGCTCCTTGGAACTCCAGTTCCACAGGATAGTAATAGGTTTTTGATAAAGAAAATTAAGGGAGCGTGTATGTGAAAGTAGGGCGAGGTTCCATGATCAAGTGGGTTTGGCAGACACTGGGTTAAAGCCGAGCTACGTGGGTGTCTTTGCTGCAGGCGTCTCATGACCTTCAGCCTGCAGGTGTGTAGGGGGCCTCTTCACGGGGCCATGGAGCTTGTAGCATTTCACACATTCTTCTGATCACAGAATACTTCTCCAGGGCACTCTTGAAAGACACCGTTGGGGAAGACCCGCTTGACTGGGACAGTAGCAGCCCTGAGCCCTCCCAGCCCTGGGGGTGGGGCATGGGGTGCCAGAGCACCTCAGCTGGCTCAGGGTCCTTGGTAGCACACCCCCCCTGCAGAGGTGGCCTGCTTGGCAGTGGGACATCAAGGTGAGTGGGTCCCCTGACTTTGAGATGGTGGGGACCCTGCTCATGAGGCTCTCCGTCCTGGGAGACTCCTGCTGGGTGACGAGCATGGTTTTCCAGCATCCATACAGTGTCCTGCTAGGGTGTGCTGGGTGTCCAAGCCCCCACTGGCCAAGGCAGGGCTCCCACCTCCTTGCTGCAGTGCCAGACCATTATATGGAGGCCAGCTGGTTTTGCAAAGAGGGCATTTACTTCTTCATTCTTTGGTTCAATGAGCATCTACCCTGCACCAGCCCCATGCTTGTGGTCTAAACCCATGATGAAAAAGACTCATCTCTGCCCTCAGGGGAACCTTGGTACCTTAAAGGAGTCAAGCACATAGTAAAATGGTGCAGTGGTAGAGGTGTGTGCTTGGTGCACGGCACAGGGAAGGTCATCAGTGATGGCCCCAGCCCAGCCTGGGCAGGGCTCCGAGGAGAGAACTGGAGCTAGGTCTTAGAGGACAGGTCTGGGCATGGCTGGCAGGCGGGGAAGAGAAGGGGATCCCAGACTGGGAACAGCGTGTGCAAAAGCAGTATGTAACATTTGTGGGTAATATATCGTTGGGTAAGTTAGATACGTGTTTTTTTGATTTTTGGTCCTTTGGAATATGTTGGAGCAATCTGTTATCCTGGAAAGAGCACTGGATCTAGAGTCAGACCTAGCACTGGGTTTTGGCTCAGCCACTTCTCACTGGGTAATGTTGGATATGTTTCTTCATCTCTGTGAGCCTCAGTTTTCCTTTTGGTTATAAGGGGATAGTAATTTCCAAGGTGCCGAAGATCAGAGGAAAATGAGAAAGCCCTTTTCATACTGTGGAGCTATGCAGATGTGGGAAATCTCAGAGACAGTTGCACATTTTTAAATCCGCCCTCTCTCTTTCTCTCTCTGTGTCTCTCTCTCTCCCTCCCCCTCTTCTCCCCTCTCCCCTCTCCCCTCTCCTCTCTCCTCTTTCCCTTACCCTAATGAAGCTATGGCAGGGTGGGTGAGGCCGGAAGAAGTCACCTCCAGCAAGAGGTAGCAGCAGCTGAGATGGCTCTGCTGGCATCAGAGCCAGAGCCTGGGCAACAAGAGGGTCGACCTTCGGATCCCGCCCTCCGTCAGTGCCTGACTCTGGGCTTCCCAGCAAGGTGGACGGAAAGAAAGGAGACAGTCTGGCCAAACTATAGGAGCCGATGCAGTGAGCAGAGAGGGGCAGGGAACCCTCTCATTTGCTATTGCCATGGAGCTGTCTGAAGACACGTTACGTTGACCAGGCCCGAGGCTGGATGGCTGTGGACATCCACACTGTCCTGTGCTTCCAAGTAAGTGCCTCCTGAAGGGCCCGGGACCCTCCCCAAGAAGATTCTGCAGCCCACAATGAAGGTGCCATCCTGTGTCTGTCCTCCACTCCAAGCAAGTTAATCATGTCTTGTTAACCAGTAGGTCCTGTTCAACATTTAGAGACCTGATGTTTTCCCTAATAAAGTTGATACCAAATTCTGCAGGACTGGGCTGCGAGAGGAAATCCCCTGGGTAAGGTGGGTGGTCAGTCACCTCCCCTTGGGAGTTTCTCACTCACTAGTCAAATATTTCTTGAGGGCTTGCCAGGCTCCCCAAAGGCCCCGGGGGGCTCTGCGCCTCCTTAGCATGCACCCTAAGTGTGAATTTAGACCCTGCCTTAATTTCAGCCCCTCGGCGGAGGAGCCAGTCTCAGATAGACAGAGGTTCACCAAGGCTTGGGAATGACAAGAGGGAAGCAAGCACGAAGGATCACAGCAGTGCATAGAGCACAAAGCTGGCCCAGTTGACTTGTCTCAGCACACCCTGCGCCCGGCTTCCTCCCTGTGCAGACTGTGTCTCCCAGCCTAGTGGTGTGGAGTGCAGGGTTCCTCCCAGCTTCCTGGGCCCTGCTGGAACCTCCCCTCCAGGGCTGGCAGACACCGGCATGGCCATCCTTGTCAGGGAGACTTGTCCCCACCCTCCTGGTGGCTGTATCAGGATTCGGCCATACCCCAAGTCCTTACCGATGCTGCAGTATCCATTGATAAGAGGCCAGGATGCCATTTCATTTCAGCCGTAGAGTGGGTTTCCATCCTCACCATCAGACACTATTTTGTTATTTTCGGGCAAGGACTTGATTCTTTGAAAGATTTTGTTTGTCAAACTGTGTGTACTAAATAATGGTGAATCTATCTTCCCACTTTGTGCTCATCAAAGGCATAAAATGCTCAGATTTCTTCCAGTGATGGCTGTTATGTAGCAAGCCCCTGGGGTGTGCCAGAAGCTTCTAGAAGTCTACCTGTCTCATCTTCACAATAACCCTGTGAGGCAGCCTGAATATTCATTCCGTTTCTATCAGTTTGGTGACTGTGGCACACAGATGTTAACCACCTTTACCGAGGTCACGTGGCCAACACGGGACGGTTCGGTTTGAGTGCAGGTCTCACCTCGGAGCACAGGTGCTCGTCGCGATGTCTTGCTGCCTGTCAGCAGACGGTAACAGTGAATTGGCACAGCCCAGCCAACACCACCACAAATAAATGAAACGTTACTTAGTCTCTGCTGCTTGTTCACAGTGGGGGAGGGGGACGCTTGTGAAATACTATAAATAGGGTGGTGATTCTCTCTGCTTCTTTTAAGAATTCTCTTAGTAGGGCAGTGCTGGGGGCACCCCCAGTTTCAGTGCCTCACGCTGGCTGCTCAGCTCTAGGGAGCCTTGGGGAAGCAGAAGGAGGAGTGAGGCCCTGGGGCCCCAGAGGGCAGGGAAGGGTGCTAGGGAGGCTGTGGGCTTGGGGCCAGTGCTCCATGAGGAAGAAGAGGAACGTTCCAGGGATCAGAGCCCTCGGGAGGGGGGAAGCCTATGCCAGGGAGCTGGAGAAGGGATTGGACCCGCGGAGTGGTTCCCAGGCGCCAGTACCAGGTGGAGGTGATATGAGAGCAACAAGTACAAGGCTACGAGTTTGCCTGACACTGAGTATGTTCATTTTTGACAGGGCTGGCCTTGATTTTGACAAGTCCCTCCTACTTTGGGAGGGGGGTGTGGTGATGGTAATTTTAGTTTCACTGGAGTGTGGAATCCAGAAGTCTGAAGAGCACTGTTCTAGGTCACTTTTGAGATCCCTTCCAGCCCTGTGGTTCTGTGAAAAGCTATAGAAAGAAGGGGGAGTGGTTCCTCCGTAAGTTAAACATAGAATGACCAGAAAACCCAGCAATTCCACTCCTAGGTAGATGCCCCAAAGAACTACAAGTAGATATACAGACAAAAACGTGTACACAGATATTCATAGCAGCACTATGCACAATAGGCAAGAGGTGGAAACAGCCCAAATATCCGTCAGCTGATGAGTAGACACACAAAATATGGTGTAGCCGCACCATGGAATATTACTCGGCCAGAGAAAGGAAGTACTGATTCATGCTACAGCCTGGTGAACCTCGAAAACATCAGGCCAAATGAGAGAAAACAGACACAGAAAGCCACAGATTGTATAATATGATTCCATTTATATTACCATAAAAAAGTGGGGGGCTAGTGACCTGGCTGACCTGCACCTTCTCTGCCTTGCCCTTCAGTATGAGGGACACGTGGCCATTCTAGGGTCTTCCTTCCCTCTCCCTCCCATATGCACGTGCCTCTTGGTCAGGGAGTAGATGCACCGAGGGTTTCACGCCAGCGTTCCCAGGGCCCAGCACAGAAAATGCTTCACAAATGCACCCCGAATGGAGTGGGGCTGGTCCGGTCCTGGGGATGGTCTCCCGGCACCAAGTCACCTCCTGTGCTGGGGCCCTCTTGCCACTTCTCTGGTTTTCATTTCGTCTCTCAAGCTTCTCCACTTCCCTTGCTGGCAGCTCTTAGCGGAACAATTGTCTCCACTTTCAGCACAATCAAAAACACTCCCTTCGAGCCCGCGGATGAGTGTTCTCAGAAGTGCCGAGGCATTGGCGTGGATGCCCACTCCAAGGGACCTGTTCAAGTGTTGATGCCCTCAAGGGCCCCAGCCCGTGGCCTCCCACCCCCTCTCCACCTGCTCCCCCACCTCAGCCACAGCCCACGGCCCCTCCTCCCGCCCAGTCCTGCTCCCCACCCCTTCCACAGGTGCCCATCCAGAGACCAGTCACTAAGCAACAGCGGAGGCTGATCTCATAGTGTGCGTCCCAGGGAGCTGACCTGTTACAAGGGGCTTCCTAAGTGGTCAGGCTGTGCATGCACAGAGGGGAGCCTCAGCCATGAAGAAGGCGCTAGAGCTTCCGTTGTCCATGAAAATCATGGTGGATTCAATAGAATGAGGTGGCCACAGGGAAAGCTGCCTGGCCACATCCTCACAAGGGGCAGCAGACAAGAGCTTGTGTCAGACTGGATCTTCCAGGGAACTTCCATCGGCCACCTGGAGCCTTGGGCATGCCGGGGGCGGTGTGGGGGGCCCACAGCCCTTCCCAGGCGGGCGCGCACTGGTGGCACACCATGGTGGGCACTGGGGAAGTGCCAGGGAGTACAGCAAGGTCCCTGCCTTCGCAGAGCTTGTGACCCACTGGAGCAATAACAGTCCTGGCTCCGAAGGCTGGTGTGAGGACAGACAGTCCGAGTGCCCAGCACGGTGCCTGGCACATGGCAGGTATCCTCAGCATCTGAAGCTTTTAACCATTCATTTCTTCTCACCTCCTAGGTAGATGCCCCAAAGGAGGTCAGGACGTATGACCTCCCTGTCAACAGCCACAGAACTAGGTTATGGACCTGTGACAAGGGCCAGGAAGGCACTAGCCAGATTTATGGTGAGAATGAATGGAAAATATTTGTTAATTGGGAAGCAATAGACATAATTCAATTTATAAACCACAATTGTTTAAGGAAGAAGACAGAGTAAAGAAAATTAGGCAGGAGAAGCACAAGGTACAGACTGTGTTAGAGCTGTGTAGTAGGTTTACATCAGTCCCCTTTCCGTCATGCACTAAAACATAGTCACTTAGTATTCCTGGGTCACCTTGATTTTTTTAATTTTAAAAAGTTCATTTTTATTTTTAAAGAATTGTGCAAGTCATTATCAATGAGTCTATTCTGTTGTGCAAGACACATTGATGTTTTTATGTCCTCTGTTGAGAGCCCCAAAATCAAGTGTAGCTGTCATCAGAAGCCCATGGGGTTCCAGGATGTGCAGAGTCCAGGGCTGGAGGCCTAAGGAGCCCCTCTGTCGGGTTTCACACCTGGGGAAAAACTCCAAATGGGCTCCTATTCACACTCCTAGTGTGCTCTCCCAGCTCCTCGAGCTTCCTGCTGATGTGAGCATGGTTCTCTGCATGATTAATCATTCATGACACTTGAGTAGTGCTTGTCTAGCTATAGCCTTGCCTCTCAAAGTATGGTCTGTGGGCTGGTTACAGTGGCTCACACCTGTAATCCCAGCACTTTGGGAGGTTGAGGCAGGAGAATCGCTGAGGCCAGGAGTTAATGACCAGCCTGGGCAACATAGCAAGACCCACCGTTCCCTACTCCATCCCCTTCCCCCAGCATCTCTACAAAACAAATTAGCCAGGTGTGGTGGTGCATGCCTGTAGTCCCAGCTACAGGGGAGACTGAGGCGGGAGGATCACTTGAGCCCAGGAGTCGAAGGCTGAGAGAGCTATCATGGCGCCCCTGCGCTCCAGCCTAGGTGGGAGAGCAAGATCCTGTCTCTAAACAAAAGCAAAGTGGGGTCCATGGACCAATAGCTTTGGTGTTCCCTGGATGCTTTTAAGAAACGCAGGCCCTGCCACAGTCCCCAGGGGATGCATATACGCACTGTTGGCAAAGTGGTGGTACATTAATCTTATGCACAACATCATGTGAGCACTCTGATGCTCTTACACGGAGGGGGAAACGGGAAACCGGTTCTGCAAGCAATGTTACATGGATAGTTACGGTAGAACTGAGACTCACACAGGCTTCTCCTTCAACTCCAGTAAGCACTTATTGTGGTTTCACAAGCACATTTACTCCTCTCCTCCACCCAGAGGTACCGTCATTACTACACAGTTTACAGATGAGCATAGTGAGGCAAACAGAGAAGTTAAGTAACTTGCCTGAAGATGACTACCTTGATCTAGACCTACCTCA